ATAAATCTGTGTTGAGTCTTCCCAGCCTTCTGAAATCAGGGCAGTTCCCTGATTTCTAGTTCATCGAGTGGGAGTTTGAGCACAGTTGGAGCTTCATCAAAAAACCTTTATAATCTCTAGGTGAATTTTGGGAGAACTGCCTCAGTTCATTGTCTACTTAATAGTATTCTGCAGTAGGGCTACTAATACTTCGTACATACCAACTCCCCCACTCCTTAGTCAAAATCAAATACAATATTCCCCAATGTTCTGTGGATTCAGCCCTGTTTCCCACTGAATTTCTCTGTCTAGAGGGCAATGCCTTTTCAGTGAGCAAAGCTGCACTGAGATGTTTCTGTGAGCAAGTTGCACTGGACGTGCCATTCCTGGGAAAGGGGACACAGCTTTTGTTTCTTCAATAGGTAAAATTTTCCTTTGTGATCACTTTGTGTTGAACTGCTATGCTCTTTGCTTTTAGGCTGCAAATCTGAAGTGCTGTTTTCTTGGTATTGTTCTGTCTCCAGCAGCTCTCTACGCTTCATGGTCTGTTACACGAGGCTGACGTACAAACCAAGCTCTAATCTGGGTGTGCATTTAGCTATGTCTGCAGTTTCTGGGCAAGTCAGCTCAAAAATCCCTTTCCAAGAACCTCAGGGCAACACTAGAAGTACAGATTTCCAGATGTGGTAAAGTACTAATAAAGAAACCTCCTTTTCACTTTACGTTTCCAAGAAACCTTGTCCCAGCATGATCCGTGTACTCGTGCCAAGATTTTAAATGTGGTAAACATCAGTTTTAGGTTCTCAAGTTTTGGTTCCACTCTGTGTCCAGAAAACAATCTTTCTTGCTGTCTGACTCCTTTGATGCCCACATTTCTGTATATGAATTCCTGTCTCCATACTCTGAGTGCTGCTTAATGCATTGTGTCTACTTATGCAAAAATCCAGGGAGGTGAAACTGAATATGAAGGGAAAATTACAAGTATAATCTTTTCTGGGAATTCATGTTTTCATTGAAACATTAAGTAGTAATGGAGTGTCTTTGACTGTGGTTATACATGGCATACTTGAGAAGTATCAGCCACCCAGGCCATTCAAACATTAACTTTTTCAAGAGTTAAATATCAAATTCAATTAAACAACCTTTTCCTGTGTCATTCTTCAGTCTGGCAACTATTTTACTCCTCCAGGTTTCAGCTTAAACCCCTTCTTCTAGAACAAAGTGAGTCTGTAAGGCAGAAAGCAGTTACTGCAAATAATTGTACTTGCAAATGTCTTCCTGCCTCTTGACACAAAGAGCTCTCAATTCCCTGAATTCCATTGAGGGCTTATTATCTGCACACCAAACACATCATAATGGGAACCAAGACCTGTTGGGAGCCCTGTTGCCTAATGCACAGTAGAATATTGTAAATACACACCACGGCCCCTGGGGCACTGGGAGTGCATGAATTAGTAAGAGAAAACACTACTGGAAAGGAAAATCTGGAGAAAATAGAATATTGCCATTTTGGATGGAGGATGGAGGGAGATGTTCATGTTTCCACGGCAACAAGTGGTAGATGAAATTGGCTGGAGCATGAAATGTGGTGAATACACTTTTCAAAACCAGCAATGCACATAAAGTAATATGTGAATCTACTCATGCTGCAGTCAGTCAATAATAAATCTGAAGTCAGTGGAGTTGCACTGCTGTAAAAGTAAAGTCTGTCCCTGTATAACAGAATACCTCAGTTTGGTTTTTTTTGCGATGGAATGATTGGGAAAATGAAGAAAAATAGGGATTTTTACCTTCAGCTGCATAAACACTCTTTAGCATGATAACAGAGAGTTTGTTTTCTCAGCAGGTTCACAAATACTGTTGAAGTGTGTTACAACCAGAACCATTAAAAAAAATAGTTGTTCTGAGAAAATGTTATTGTCTTCCCATTTTGCAGTCACACAGACACTAACGTTTGGTGTATTTTGCACATTATATACATCAGCTCAGCTTTCTCTCCAGAGTACGGAGCTGGGCTATGTTAGCTGTGAGGCAATTTTCTAGACAGCTAAAGACTTTAAAATTCCTGCAAATGTGCTGAAAAATATTGCTCTTGAAAACAGCTGCCTGATTACTTGCCATTCTTATGCAGACAGCTATTGAATAACTGCTCAGTAATCTGCCAGTACTAAACTACAGGTCTGTAGCCTGACGCTGCATGTGGATTCAGAGCTGAGCTGGCAAGTTCTGTTGATGTTATCCCAGTGTTATTAGTGCAGCAGCAGCAGCAATGTGCTCTTATCTGCATAGGTAGTGGCAAAATCATACATAAACCAGATATTTCTATTGATGCCCATGTCCCAGTCAGTACTTCACACCTGAGCTCTTAGCAGAACATTCCTTAGCCATAGGTTTCTGAGTTGTCACAAGGAGACTCTGCTGCACAAATACTAGTGCAATGAATGGATTTAAAGATCTCAAAATCTCATGCAAGGTTTTCACTCTGCCTGATGTGGTTACATTTCCACACTACTGCCAGGTTGTGCTCTGGGGTGCTCTGGATTTTGTACTCCAGAGGGATATCTCTAGGGCTTTGACTCTTTGGTCTTTACCCATACCCATTTTTACTTTGTTTTTTTGGATATGTTCTTTCTTTTCCTGGTATAAATATTTTTCTACATGCATCCACCACTTGAGCTTGTTTGCACGGTCACATTCTATTCCGGTGGATGAGTTAGGGGCTGAGCTAAGCTCTGCCAGTACACATATGGGATGGAAGTTGTGTGGGAGATTGCTTCCAATCTGTTTTGCCATTCCTGTCTATTCTAGCAATCTCTGTACCGTCTGTTCCCTGAGATGTGCTGAATCTTCTGCGTTCCAGGAGGAAGGAGCTAAATGAAAACCTGTCTTTCAGCACTTGGAACAAAGCTGCTTTTTTATGGCTGAGTCACTAAAGTTGCTATATGCTTTTACAAGGCTTTCATTCTGTGTGTGTGTGCTTGTATGTTCCATGTTTGAGGGTCAAACTCTGCCTTTGAGACTGTTTGAGGTCCCTTCCGATCCAAATCATTGTATATGACCCTCTAGACATTACCAATAAAACTAATAGCCCACACCTCACATTGTTGCAGAAGACCAGGGCAATCAAGTATGGAGGTTTCCTTCTCTACATCTATCTACAGACAGTACATTACCTAGCTTCTAGCAATGACCAGCCCTTTTCTTCACCAGTAGAGCAGTTTCCTTTTTAAGTCCTCATGCCTCTGTTAAAATCATTGCAATAATTCTTTAGGCTTAATTAAGCAAGCTAAATGGTGAATGGTAAGCCTGTAGTTATACCTGTAGTCCATTAGACCTTTTACACTAAGAAAAGTCAGGCTGTATTGAAGAGATGTGACCTTCTAGACATTTCAGCACTGTGATATGTGGCTGGAAATGAGATAATTTTCGCAGTGAATATTCTGTGATGGTCTGAGTTAGTTTTAGGGAGAAGTAGAGTGGAAACCATGTTGTGTATTTTTTAGAGCCTTAAAATTAGGCAGCTGACCTATTAAGATATTTCACAAGCAGTTGACTGATCAAAACACTGGAATTAACAATATCTAAGAGCAGCTTGAAATATTTCCCTAAGATGAATACACAGGGCTTGCAAGGTGAAGAAAATCTAGATGGAGGTCCATGACACTTTCCTTCCTAAGACATTGGGTATTAATGCAGCACATCTATTATTTGCTCTGCCTGTAACTCTGAACTTCATGTAAATTGTAATGTGATATTTTCTACTTGTATGAGATGTGTATGGTTTTTTTGTGACAGGGACTGTCATCTGCTTGTCTTGTGCAGTCAGTGGCACAATGCACTCTTTTCTTTTGGGTGTAAAGTGCTACCATGCTACAAAGAATAAAGAGCAATCACTGAGCCTGGAAGAAGGTGATTATTCCGTCTCCAGCATTGCAGGGCCATCAGAAAGTGCACCCCAAATCTCATCTATGTGGACTCAGCAGCTTATTTCTTAGTTGAGGGCAAGGGTGGTGGTGGCAGTGATGTTTTCCTCTGTAAACTCTGGTCCATTAGGATTTGCGCTCTGATCCATATGCAAACTTTTCATTCTTTGTCTCCTGAGGTGAAGTTTAATCAAATGCACACATGTGAATGAGCTAGTCTAAATATCAATAAATGTTTCTGTCAGGAAAGGCTTGAGATACTTAATATTTAATAAGCCTTGAAAATGAACTTCTGTTCCTGTTTCTCAATTTGATTTCAAGCATTTTGGCAGTGAGCAGTGCTCACTGTCCCAGTGAGGCAGGCACAGCACAGATTATTTAACAATCCACTTTGTCTCATCTGAAATATTCATGTTAGCAGATATCCAAATGCAACTCTTAAAAAAACACACAAAAACCAAATAGCGCAATCCGAGCCTCACAGTTACCTTAAATCTTTGCTTTAGGCTACACATCACAGTAATGCTGTTATCTCTCGTAGCTCTACCCTGTTGCCCTGGTTACTGATCCAAACCAGAGCACCCCTGCAGCTGGAGTTACACAAACACCTTATCCATGTGAGGGTAATACTGCTAAAGGTGCTTCTTCCCTAAAGCAGAAATACAGCCCCCAATGCATGCAGCAGCTTTCCCTTGTTCAAGTAAGCAAGCAAGCATGCAGCTATAACAATTGCCTTTATCCTCAAATTCAGCCAGTGCTAACAAAGCAAAATTAGATTAATAAACAATTATTATTGTTAAAGCACTAGCCTTTCTGGAAGACCTCAAAATCTTGATTTTGTATCAGTGGAGCTGCAGGTAGATTTGGCAGAATATTATCTCTCACATTGATTTCTGTCTTGAAAACATGGGAATCCTGAATGAAGAGGGAGTTTAGATTTTTTTCAAGTGGCTGATTGACAGCTGAAAATGGGCTATATTAGTTTGTATGTGACTTCCTGCAGGATATGGGCTTGGGGGTGGGTGACAGTGTCTCATCTGACAATACTCAGATGCTCCATAGTAAAGGGTGGTCCCTCCTGTTCTTGGATAGACTTACTTTGAGAGTTTCATTTCAATTTGCTGCCGGATTTCCTGTCTTTCCTCATCTGTTCTCCTTGGAAAAATATTCCTGTCTTCCAGCTCCTGCTTACTTGGTCTGTTTCGTAGTTTTACTGCCAGCAATTCTTTCTTGCATTTTCTTGGCAAAGTACCTGGGACATGCATTGGAAAGAAAGTTATTAGGAGGACAGGTCCCGGAGATGAAACATGAACATATGAAGAGTGGAAAACCTATAGAGTGACAGTATGTTAGTGTGCAATGAGCCGTTGTACACATTACTGTAAGTAGCATTACTGTTGTGCTGGGCTTCAGAAGTCCTGTGCAGAACTTCAGCAGTCTGAAAATTGTCATTGCAGAGCAGCACCAGTCAGATGGAGTTTAGAATACTGTCCAGGTATGCAGGAACTACAGTTAAATCTCTGTGTTTCTTTCATCTTGGGAGTGTGTTGTGTAATACAAGGCTATTTCGTTTTGGTTCCTTTTTACTTTAAAGGTTTTTTATTATTATTTTATTTATTTAATGCTTCACCTTTTCTATAAAAGGTCAGCTCATTTTTAAAGAAAATTACATTGAATTGGTATTTTTGGCATTTGACATAGGATCAAAGTATATTTTTATTTTAAATGATGCTCTGGAGGTTGTCAGGATACTAAATCCTAAAAAGGTTATTGTTCCCAGGTATTGGGGTTTTATTTGCTTGGGACCTGTGAGCCTATGTTACTATTATCACTACTGATCTCACATTTATTTGCATGGACACGAGCCTATACCAAATCCACAACATACATGTTGGGAAGACTGGGGCAAGATAGTAGTTATGGTCTCCCCATGTGAGCAGGGACAAGTTTCTTGATAGTTGCAGTGGTGTAAAGTTAAACTTCTTTGAAAGTTCAAAGCACCATTTACAGTCTAGAAGCTGTGCCCTTGTTTAGCTCTTTCTTCCTAATGCTCTCCAAGTTTGGTGCAAATATTAATTAAATTAGACCTCAGCCCTCTGTGAAGTAGTAGGTATGCATTTAACAGATGGGTAAAGAAGTTAAACGATTTGGCTGATGCCACACAGAGCCTTTGCTAACTGAATATATGGCTCCATCAGAAACACTTGTCTCACTGGGGGTCGGTGCAGAGTAGGCAATGGCAGTGCTTGATCCTTACAGCACAGGAACAAATAGAATTCCTTCTGGAAATAGTCCAAAGCATTTTTGGGGCTTACAAAACTCCTGCGTATTCCTGAACATGTTTTCATTTTCACCTGGAAATTTTAAGCAGGTGGTAAGAGGAATTTGTTTATGTCGGGACATTGCTGCAGAGTAACTAGACGTGCACACTGAGCCCATTGTCACCAGAACAGGACAGGCATCCTGCCCATATACTGGCCATCTGCATAGTGCATTTGCAGGCAGGTCAGTGCATCTTCAGTGCACTGGAAGCAATACATGTATACAATATACAGTACATGCATGCATCTCTGTTGAGAACTGCTTTGAAGGAAACAAGGAAGCCCTACATTTGTAGTCAACACATTTTTTTGAGATGCATCTTAAATGGTTATTCTCCCATTCATCAGTGACTTCTAAGGTATGAGCATGCAGGACTATCTGCACTCCCTTCATGCTGTTACAAAACTACTTGCCATACCATAGTATACATGGTCTTTGAATTGTGGGAGGACAAGGGCTAGAATCACAATGATTATGTGCTCAAATGTCAGGGCTCATTGTCTTCTGTCCCTTATCTCATTGAAAGGCAACTAAAACTGATGTGCTGCAAGTAAAAGACTGGACCTTTTTGCAACAAGTCAGGTTTTGAAGCTGATGTGGAGACACAGGCTTAAGTGAACTCAGTGTGTGCCCTAGAGCCTTGTGTTTCAAAGTGAGATGGAATAATGCAGTATTTTCCTTGAAACACAGTAAAATGAAGCTGCTTTTCAGAGCCTTGACTACTTGCAGGCTGCTCTGCTGTACACTTAGAAGCAGTCTATTACTTCATGAAATTAAAAACATAAGTCATATCTGAAAAATCTCAACTTTAACTTAAATCCTGCTATTGCATTAGAGGAGTAGACAGCATATAACCCACTCAAGTTAAACTATGCTCACTTCATCCAGATGTCTGGATTTCTAAATGGCTTACACTATAACCACTCCCTTTTTTTTTAGGGTATTTCAGCAAACAAAAATGCAAGAGATCTTGATTAATCTGATCTAGTCTAAGGAGCCATTCCCCACAACTGAGCAATTGGGTTAATTCCTGACAAATAATACCTGCCCAACAAAGTGAAAAGAGGGAGATGATGTTACTCCCTTTGGGGAGACATGCCAGGAAAAACTGTGTGATTCATCTGTTTTTGTCTTAACCAGCTCAGTGACAGCCAGTTATGTCCACCTGCTGCAGAAATCCATACCTGATATTTCAGAATTAATAAACAAAACCAGAGAACAAAGAAGAAATAAAGCCCAAGACTAGTTTTCCCCACATACAGTTTTAGCACCCTGAGGCAAATTCCTTTCTGATCACTCTCAGTGGAAAGTGAACCTGCAAATACCCTTGTTTAAGTATTTTCTTCCTAATGGTTCTTTTTCCTGGTCAATAAGGCATGTTCAATGCTGGTCTGCCCCATAACCAAACTCTCAGGTAGGATTTTGGCTGTGGCTTGTTTCATTATTTAAGACAGCTCAGCTAGGTCAACAATAAATGCTTTTGAAGTTCTTGCAAACCAGTCTAGATATTTTAAACGAGAAAGGATCTGGAGCTTTCCGGTGAATTCTTATGGTGGTATCACTGTCACTACTGCATCTGTCGTTCCTCTGTGAAATGCAATTGAATGAATGCTGGCACACACAGTGCCACCCAGCGTCAAGATCAGAAATGTCTTGCTCATATCCCGGCTTGCAGGGAGTAAATGGGCCCTGCTTATCCCCGAAGCTGGTGTCTTCTCGGGGGCTGAGTTCACACCAGGACTTCTGTGGTTTAAGCAGTCGTGTTGCCCAGCTTGCCACGTACCTGTTCATGGCAGCCTCCTTAGACATCAGGCAGCTGACACTGTATGGCCTGGGTTTTTGCTGTACCCCTAAAATGTGCCTCAACATGAACACGAGCAGAGCAAGCTCCAGGCTTGTATAAGAAATTAGGAATTTTGTAAATGCACACTTAAAACCTATAAGGACAAGACAGTTCACTATGATCTTCAGCAATGTTCAATAAAATGATCTTATGTGCAAAGCTCCAGCATCATGATGACTGGGAGAAGTTTTAGGGGTGTATCAAACAGGCTTCGTGGTGCAGAGAATGAAGTTTAGGTGTGAAGAGACTCGAATGCCAAAGAGTGAGATAAATTAATTATGAGGAAGCCTGTGTAGCTACAAAGAAATGAGAGAAAATTCTTCATAACAATTGTTTTTGTTGAAGTTGGAATGTGTTTTGTATGGAAAGAGGTGTTGTATTCATATCTTGGGCCTCTTTATCGAATTATAAACTATCTGTTTGCTCTCCTTGCCCTCAATGTACATCTGGAGGTAATTACTAATCTGTATAGAGTAAACATTCTATCTGATTTCATAACAAACATGCATTTCTAGCCTTTCAGTTAAGGAATCTAACTGTCTGTATATCTACTGTGTGCTGCCATTACATCATAAGAACTGGGAAAGCAAGTCTGTATGTGCTTCTAGCCCTTGACATTTGATTCGGGCCATTAATCTCATTCACTAAAGCATTCAAGAGCATATCAGGACCACCTAACTATATTCGTCAGTTAGTCCTATAAACTTTTCCATTCAGCTTTTACATCAGTTGGTCTAGCATTGCCTTATAAAACTTGCTGCATGTAAACCATTCCTAGGCCATCCTCAGTACAGCAGCTCTAATGCTCAACTGTAGCAAGCAGACATATTTCAGAACTCTAACACTTATTGTGGAAAGCCAAGAGCTGCTCTGGATGCCACTGAAATTTGTACAGTAATCAATGTTCTTCTGTCATAATAATTTCTGTCTTCACAGGCACAAAATAATTATTTTGCTAAATATATAGAATATTCATCTTCAACAGTAAAATATTCAGTTTTATTTTTACAAGTAGGGAATAACATATTTTTTGCCTAGTTGTGACTCTACGTCTTAAAATTTATAACAAAAGAGACCACTTTTGTCATCAGGAACAACACATAGAAAAAAAAGATAACTTAAAAATCACCTTTTAAGTTATATCCTTTAATGCATTATATGAGGGATTCTCATTTGTTTTGCTTTTTCTCAGCTGTCTATTCTCTTACTAGGTATCTTAACACAAAGAAGCAGAACTCATGAGTACTGCATGCTACTTAAACTTCCTAATAGCAATATTAAAATTATCCTTTAGCTGTTATAACAATTATTTTTTTTATTATATTTTTTCTCTGCCTGCCTTCTCTTATTGTATTAAGAGATTGAAAGATTCCTTTCAGACTAAATCTTTATACTGCTAACAGAAAACATTAAAGCTGGAAAGAAAAATACATTTTCTAATGAGAGTTGATTATTGTGCCAAAGGCACTTAAATAATTGCTCAGAATTATACAGTGTGCTGCCCATATGTCTTAAGAAAGGGAAAACTGATCAAATGGAGAAGCAACTTTTTTCTTCAAGATATTATCTCTGGATGTTTGTCCTTCCTAGATTCATTGGTCTCTTCTTCAGTAAAGCATTTGACACCGTCTCCCACAGCATCCTTGTAGATAAGTTGATCAGGTATGGGTTTGGTGATCAGGTAGTGAGGTGGATTAGGAACTGGTTGAAAGGAAGGAGTCAGAGAGTTGTAGTCAATGGGGCAGAATCTGGTTGGAGGTGTGTGACTAGTGGAGTCCCACAGGGGTCGGTACTGGGACCGGTGTTGTTCAACATCTTCATCAACGACCTGGATGAGGGTATAGAATGTACCCTCAGCAAGTTTGCTGATGACACTAAGCTGGGAGGAGTGGCTGACACACCAGAAGGCTGTGCTGCCATTCAGAGAGACTTAGATAGGCTGGAGAGTTGGGCGGGGAGAAACATGATGAAATTCAACAAGGGGAAGTGTAGAGTTTTGCATTTGGGGAAGAGCAACACCATGTCCCAGTACAGGTTGGGGGCTGAACTGCTGGAGAGTAGTGTAGGTGAAAGAGACCTGGGGGTCCTGGTAGACAGGAGGATGACCATGAGCCAGCAATGTGCCCTTGTGGCCAAGAAGGCCAATGGCATCCTGGGGTGCATTAGAAAGGGTGTGGTTAGTAGGTCAAGAGAGGTTCTCCTCCCCCTCTATTCTGCATTGGTGAGGCCACATCTGGAGTATTGTGTCCAGTTCTGGGCCCCTCAGTTCAAAAAGGACAGGGAACTGCTCGAAAGAGTCCAGCGCAGAGCTACGAAGATGATTAGGGGAGTGGAACATCTCCCTTATGAGGAAAGGCTGAGGGAGCTGGGTCTCTTTAGCTTGGAGAAAAGGAGACTGAGGGGTGACCTCATCAATGTTTACAAATATGTAAGGGGTGAGTGTCAGGGGGACGGAGTTAGGCTTTTCTCAGTGATGACCAGTGATAGGACAAGGGGTAATGGGTGTAAATTGGAGCATAGGAAGTTCAAGGTGAATATCCGAAAAAATTACAAAGATGATTAAGGGAGTGGAACATCTCCCTTATGAGGAAAGGCTGAGGGAGATGGGTCTCTTTAGCTTGGAGAAAAGGAGACTGAGGGGTGACCTCATTAATGTTTACAAATATGTAAGGGGTGAGTGTCAGGGGGACGGAGTTAGGCTTTTCTCAGTGATGACCAGTGATAGGACAAGGGGTAATGGGTGTAAATTGGAGCATAGGAGGTTCAAGGTGAATATCTGAAATTTTTTTTTTACTGTAAGAGTGACAGAGCCCTGGAACAGGCTGCCCAGGGAGGTTGTGGAGTCTCCTTCACTGGAGACATTCAAAACCCACCTGGATGCGTTCCTGTGTGATGTACTCTAGGTGACCCTGCTCTGGCAGGGGGGGTGGACTAGATGATCTTTTGAGGTCCCTTCCAACCCCTAAGATTCTATGATTCCACTTTTCACTATATCACCACTGCACTGGAACGATAGCCCTAAAATGGGATGCTTCCAAAGCATCCACAGCATAGACACCAGGTATGCAGGAAGCTTGGCCTGCTGACTGTGAGATGTGTCTGCAGGAGCTGCCATTATTGTTATGTTGTGCAAAGAGCACCTAAGTCACTGAAAGGGTAGAGCATACTGATACATAACCCTAAACACAACTTTTGTGTGCAGTACCTACAAAGACAAACATACTAACGATCACCATGACTAAATTTAACCCTCACTAGGACCCCTTGAAAAAACTGATGTGGCAATAGAAGATTTTATACTGATTAACATTTTCTGTTGCATACTGCCTTGTTTAGAGCATTCCATTAGGCTACAATAGTATATCTTTATAACATAATAAGTGACTTTCCTTACCAGAAATAATGGAGTCATTCAAAACTTCCTCATCCTGATAAAAAACAGAGTCTTCCTTGAGCTCTGAGTTAATTATCATGTTTTCTTTGTTCTCATCTGACTCTTTAACCGAGTTCCGCTTATTTTCTGAGTCACTGCTGTAGGTCAGCGAGTTCTCCTTTTCTTTGTTGCGCTCTATGCTAGATGTTCTGGATGGACGGACATCCACTCTTTTTTTTGGAGAGCCTTTGCTTTCTCTTCCGTGGAAGCTGTGGGAGGAAGGTGTACAGCCCAGTTTTCACAAAAGACTGTTATGTTGCTACAGTAGGAACTTATCGTTATATGACAATGAGCAGAATATCCTGTATCTTGTAAAGGCCTGGGCAGACTTGAACATGGGACAATGCAGGGTAGCGTTCTCAAGAGTGTGTTGAGAATGGCTAATGTGGATCTACTTTCCTATCTCTGTCATAAAGATAAGGTACAGAAGGGTAGTGACTAATGTATTTCTTTGATATACAGCCACATGCTATACTGTACAGATTTTAAAAACCCCCTCACAGTACATCCTTCTAATGTAAAACATTCATGGCATGAAATATTACCATTCTGATACTTTATGATCATGACAAAGGTTAACAGGGCCTGGAAATAATATCATACGAATCTGTTCCCCGTGACAATAGCTGTTATGGAATTGAGAAATGTTACCAACTTAACTCCAAAGCTCTAGGATGGAAAAGGTTATCTGTGTCCTCCTTTAATACACAGGAGGGCTTATAATGAAAACCAGACAAAGTACCCAGTGCACTCCCACATAAGCATTTGTATTAGAAATTGGTACCGTATATGCTCGTGTATAAGTAAGGAGACACACACTGCAAAAGCAGCATTTCTCATCTGTAGAGGACTGGTATGTAGAGCAGGGTATGTCTTAGCTACTTGGTGTCTTGTGAGCAGATTATATTTTGCAATAGGTCAAGGATTATCAAATTATTCTACCTGTTTGAAAACCTACTTCCATGTCATAGTAGCTTCCTTACAAAGGAAGAGCATACTTTGAAGTAACTGCCAAATTAAGCATTTAAACAAGAAATGGATGTTTAGAGTAGTCATATTAAGAGGAAGGCAAACCCAAGCTGTAGGAGTAGATAAAATGCTAATAACAGCATAGGGACATTTACCAAGAAAAATTATTTAGTGGAATGATTCTCCTCATGCACCCAGAAAGCCAAGAGGCTGTAGGTACCTGTCCTGCCGGTGTTTGGTGGCCAGAGCCCTGTGGAGTTCTTCAATGACTCTGCTGGGAGGTAAAGGCAAGTGGATGGCAGCCAGGTGAGGGGAACCAGTTGGCGTTGTTACCTGTCCTCTGACATGGGGATCTGAACTTTTCTGGCCAGAAGGATGGAAGAGGGCAGCTTGTCCTGAGATTTGGGAGGAACCAACAATGACATAGTTCTTCAGGATGGTGGAAGGAGGAGATTTCATGGCTGGGTCATCTATTTCGCTTCCTGCTGTCAAAACATAAGAGGGTGAGAGGTTGTGCAATGCTTCTTAAATTTTGCATGCTGAAATTAATTAGTTTTTCTAGAAGGTAACTGCTTAACCTGAGTAACTGAATTCAAGACTCATACTGCACAAATCCAGATCTTTGATCTAGAAGAACAGACGCCTTGTTCCCTTCCCTCAGTATCAGGTGCTCCTTTTCCACAGCCCACCAATGCATTCTTGTTTGCCAGTGCTGTTCCTCGTAACCACCAATGCCTTGTATTGTGCTGGCTTTCCAATCTAGCACTTTCTCTGCTGCACTCTGGCAGACTATTAAAATTTATGCACTGTGGTTCTCAATCAGGACAAAATGTACCAGTGTCTTGTCTGTTATCTGCTCCTCGGTGGTTGCTGCACAGCTTAGACCTATGTCTTTCATATGCCAGTTGAGGAAATGCCAGAATCATTATGAGGATAGTATTTGCATAACAAAACTTGCCAAATGAAATAAAATTAGAGGTGTAGTATTGAGCATTAAAAAGAGAAAAGAAGGGTGAGGGAATCTAATCATTTTTTACCCCCAGATTCAGATATTTCTTATGCCCTGTAAGCCTTTTATTGGAAATTAGATTTAAAGATATCAATTTTTCTGGCACCTGAGTTCAAAGCACAGTAGATATGTCCCTGGTTGTAAATTTTGTAATTTCACACTTTAAAAATAACTGAACATCTGGCCTGAAAAATACGCTGTGTGGTTTTTCTCTTCTGCAGCTCTCTTCTTTCCCTTATAACTCCGTCCCAAGCCTCTTGCACAGGGCGTTGTTCACAAGAGCTCAGTCTGGGTGTGAAGAAGCAATGCCAGTTCCTCATACAGAGTATTTCTTTTCTCTGGTTGCCACCTAGTGTTTTAAATAGGAATTTAAAGTGACACAGCTTTTGTATAAACTTGTTTTCACAGATAATTTTTAGTTTTTTCACTTTTGAGAAAAATCCTTCAGTTTATAGCAGAGAAAAGCTGCTGCTCAGGCCAGGAGTATCCTGAAATACCCATGTAAAAGGGATTTGTTTCCTATTAGCAGGGTAACTTACTGGAAAACTGAAGAGGACAAAAGTAATTTTCAATATTAACTTCAGTTATTAAATATTTCCTCTCAGAACCAGCGTCCTGCATAATGGTTACCAACTACAGGCTTTTTTAAAGTTCATGGCTGGAAATACAGTACAGTTTGTAAGGGTAGTGCTGCAAACAGAGCTTGGCATTTGAAGGTTGGAGGGCAGAATTATTGAGGACGACATCAAGAGCACAACTAGGAAGGACAACTAGGTTATGGCTCCTATAGCCATAACCAAAATCAAACACAAAAAAAATTTGAATATGACAGCACTAAGCCTGGCTTCTTTCTCACGTTTATAGGGTAAGAAGAAGAGGATCCTTCAATAAGGAGAGTTATATCCACATTAGTCTTCTCTCTTACTCTAAGAAAGGTCTAGCTTACTATTTTTTTCATTTTTGGAATGCATCTTGGAATGCACATTTCTCTCCCTCCAACCCAGAACCCTACGCCAGAGCTTCATTCACCTCTCTGTGCATCCAGAAAGCATGGGTCAAACTAGTCTAAATGTTACCCTATTTAATATCTGAACATTTCTGAAAGGACAGGGGCATTTCTTCAAGTGTCTAGGTGTCCAGTGCACAATGTCTTGCAATGAGACACGTTCCCACTGCAGATCTGCTCCTGCACTGATCAGGATGGTTGCTGCCGCCAGCAGAGACCAAACCTCTGCCAAGCAAAGATGATTTTTCAGCACTCAAGGGGATTTTGATTATGTGCTACTGTGGAGGTGCAAAGGACATTTGTGATCGATAATTGCCATTGAATCATGGCTGAGGGGATAAAGAAACATCTTGTAAGTCACTTTATACCATGGCACATTGAAAGAGGGTGTCTGTGTTTTCTCAGAGCAAGAATCCTGGGTTCAGCTCAACCCTAAAGCAGGAAGGGAGGAGACTTTTTTTTCTTTATACCTGCTTGTTCCTGGAGCAGGTCAAGGGCCAGTTTTATCATCATTGCAGTTGGACTCAATATTGAGAGTTTCCTAAGATCACACCTTATTTGTCCTAATGACAGCTGTTTAGTGAATAATCTTACAAAGTGATGTCTTGGCACATTGCCCTGTTGCCCCTCTCTCTGTGATTAATTGGTGCTTGGCTTATTCCTCACTCTACTGCTAACAGCATTTTTAAGATTGTTAAGAAGAGAAAACTAAATACAAAAGAACCCTTCTGCTTCTTAATTTTCCTCTTCCTTTTCTTTCATAATTGCTCTTTGTTTCTCTCTCCCTATACATTTGTATTCCCTTTCACTCACTGATAGTATTTTTTAGTCTTTACTGCCTTCACATCCACATAAAAATGAACAAATGTATAATCACTTTTGGAAAAGGATCTGTAGTTATTGGAGTGATTGAGAGAACTAAGAGTTGTTCTTTATGGAAAATTTAGATGAGAATGAAATACCCAAACTCATAATATATTGGATCTTAGGGGAAATAGTTTGGTTAAGCAGCAAAATACCTGCACTCAAAATGCTGTCAAGTGCCTGGTGGACCTGTAATCTCATGGCCTGCTATGGGTTAGGTTTTCCAAATAGCTTACATGTCATGCAGAGCATGGCCCTCACATCAGCTGAGCAAAGCCGAAGGGGTGTCCTGGTTGTGCCTATTCATGCTGCAGGGTGGCAGGGGCAGGCTTGAGTCTGACTCATAGCAGAGAATGTTGAAGCAATCTGAACAGCCAGTCCCAAGAAGCATTATGATAGCATTTTGAATCCAGCTCCCAACTCTTACAGCTTTTAAGCATGGACAAAATATGGGTATTTTCCACAGGAAATAAATACTTGTTATTTTCCTCAAAAAGACTGAAAATCTCAGTATTTTCTATGAACCTCAGTGGTCAGATTACAGTGCTCTTCTGATATTTTTTTTTTCCTGGTGACTTTGAAAACCCTGTTCTTTGTGCCAAAGTCTCTGTGACTGCAAATCAGGGCTGAGATAATGGCTGTCATTTAAAAGTGTAAATATTCAACAGATCTGATATTTAGATGTCAGGACTTGATTCTATTTTGCAATAAGGCCCTTTTAACTGCTTTTGCCATATGTAGGGCCCCTAAAATTGGAACAAACTAAAATCATATTCACTTTAACACATTTTCTGCAGTGCCAGAGTGTTGGAAAATTTAACATTGGCAATGCATTAGAAAATCAGGCCCAAAAGAATAGCTCTTGAAACATTAAATGAAGTCTGGCACACAGGTTTGCTATGTGGGAGCCAGGTGTATCACTTCTGTGTAACTAGACCAGATTTCATAGTTCTACTTTAGACCTACCATAGAGAGCAAACACTTCAGATAGAAACCTCTACAGAACCTATTGTCTTAAAATTGCTTTTGGCTGTTGTACTCTTACCCAGCAGAGTCTGGTTAACACATTTAAATCTTTGTTGTGTTTTATGACATATCAATAGGAGCATCTGATTCAACAGACGTTTGCAGTTGGTTTGATTTGTTTTACATGTGTTTAGTGCAAGACTTGCAGCAAAAAATTCCCTGAGAGATTCAAAGAAATATGTGAAGTACAAAGATCAGTACATTGTTATCAGGCAACCAGACTGCTCCATTCATGGATATCATTAGCATTCTCTTCACTCAATGTAGCTACCCCAATTGACAGCAGTTTGTGACAATAGGCTTAAAAAAGGATGTAAGAAAAAAACTAAGTTTTGTGCTGTGTAGGTGAACAACAAATAAGAAATGGGAAATTCTTTACTGACCAGTAATAACTGACCTGTTACAGTTTTTGTGATTTTGGAGATGGCCTTAGGTGGTGGAGCTGGGAGCAGCGGAGGGCTGGGAAGCTGTGCTGGGTTTCGTTCTGTCTGTTTCTGAGGGGAATCCATGGATTCAGATGCAAGTAAGGCTTGTGGACTGTCTTCAGATGCTGACAGGCTGGCATCTTCTAATTCTTCAGTGGGTGCTGAAGGTTTCTTGGCTAGTAGGAAGATGAGTAAAATTAATGGAACATGAAGTTAATAATAATGATAGGCCAGGGGACAGTGCCAGGAACATTCAAAAAACCAGAACACATGGCATACAGCTAGAAGCACTTCTTTTCCATAGTGAAAATAATGGTTGTGTGAAACAGCTAGCCAGCCAAAGGCAGGTAAAGAAAAAGATGTGTGAAGATATTGAAGAAAAGTTAGTTTTGATGATCCCGAGAAAACTGCTGAGCTTCCGTTACTTCCCTGAAGCCTTTTTCCCTTTCCTTTTGTGTGTTTTGGGTTTTTTGTTTGTTTGTTTTTGTTTTTAAATAATGAAGGCAGCAAGGCAAACCACCTTTTGAGGACTGCAATGCAATTTCTTCCAGCATACAACTTCAGTGACACAGTTAGTGGGTACTTGTTTGTGTTAGAAACCTACAGCCAAAGGGCAAAGAGTATCAAACCAGCAATATTACAGGAAAGCTGACTTTCCAATTCTTTGCTGTACACATAGACTTTCATAATTCATTTTTATCTTACTTAATACATGACATCAACTTGCATCCCAGCTCTTCTCTTACTGCAGCTGACTCAGGAACTGTTGAGTCTTTTCCTGAGGTTAAAGTTGATAACCCAGAAAAGTCTGCAAGGAAAAAGGTTTGCCAGTGGATCTCAGCAATTCTTGTGGAACTGAGGAGTGAAGTGCTTTAGAGAAACTTCCATCACCAGAGCTGTAATTTGAGATGGTGGAGCAATGTTCACTTCAGGATTGTCTCCTGAAAGAGGGCAAAATCACTTAGCTCTTGAAGTTAGCATGGGTTGAGTCACTGAGCAGTTCATCGAATTGACCCAGCTGTGATGAAAGCGCAGAGCAATAGATCAAGAAAGGCATGAAGCTGAAGCAGGAAGGACATAGGTGGAATTTCAGTGATTTTCAGTGATTAGGTTTTCAGTCCAAAACTAACATCCATGAATCCTGCTTAGATGGCAGGGCTTAAACTCACACAGGGCCTCACTGCATGATTTTCACCATGTTATACATCCTGATCTCTGCCTTGACATACATGGGGACATACAGAGAGGCTTGAACCTGGCTCTGATCCAGGCCCCCATGGCCAGGCCCCACCATGATCTCAGTAACCATGAGGTTTATTTTTCCTTGGACTGGATAAATGGCAAATCCCACTCCTCTTGGTATTTTGGATTGTCTGAATGAAGTACCTTTCCCTCCAAGGGCATCTCCTAAAAACTCACAGCAGTGGGCACCCACAGCTGCTGTGTCACAGATCTTTTCTTGGCTCAGTTTTATGTCTTGTTTTGAATACAAACTCTCTATATTAATGAACATTCAGCATCCTCATTCAGAGTGCATGGGGAGGCACCAGAACACTTAGGCAGTTGGAAACAATAGCATTGGCAAGATAATAGCGTTTAATTTGTTGACAAACAGATTAATGACTACCTCTAAAAGAAGAGGAATAAGTATTTATCGTGCAAAAAACGACAGGAAAGTAGAATAAATATGCATTGTTAACAGGAATTCTTGTGAAATTTAACTTGATAGAAAAGCTGCTGTATGTGATAGTTGCCTGAATTATGGAAGGGATTAGTTTTCCTTTAAATATACTTTCAGGGAAATACTTCGTTTCAGGCTGACACAACTTTGTGTTTTTCTGCCTGCTGCATAGAAGACCAAATGTAGAATATAGGAAGAGAAAAATAAAGTCACTAATGGGTTACGTTGCAGAAAGATCAAGAGCTACAGTAGATGTTAGTAGCTTGATCGGAAACTTAGTCAGATTTGTGTGCATTCCCCTGAGTGAAGTGATACTTTCTTCTGGCAGTAATTTCACTGAAATCTGTAGACCTCCCGGTAACATGAAGTGCTGTTTGGCACAGATGCAGAGGAGCAGCCATGGTGGGACCTTTCCTATAGAGAAAGTAGATCTGAAACACACTTGGCCTCTGTCAGACTGATCTTTTTGTTTCTGAACTCCATCCTTTCTGAGAGTAGTATCACAAAAACAAACTGGCATTGTGCATTGCTGTCTAAAGAATGTCCATTTCACATTCCCTGTGAAGAACAGTTTGCTTCTGTGTTTTTCTGTGGTTGTTTCTGTAACAACAGCACGTTTGACTCTGTCTAAAGGCAGACCTGAGTCTTGAGTACACAAACCTATTAACAGGTTTCATACTATAGAGTGAATAT